TTCCCTAGCCCTACAAACTGACCCAAATCTATATCTGCAATACCCCCCCCCCCCCTCTCTCTCTCTCTCTCTCTATCTCTCTCTCTCTCTCCCTCTCTCTCTCTCTCTCTCTCTCTCTATCCCCTTGGACCAGTACCCGAAAACGATGACCCCTCTCCTCACCCTGATCGCCGCCCCTGACCATAACCAATGTATTGCCAAACTGCTATTGTGGATTTCGAGTTTCGTTTTGCGGTTCGGATTGTTGGGTGTATTATTCTGTCATTAAATAATATGTGAATTCAATACTTACCACTAAGTTTAAAATAAATAACTTCACTCTCTTCCAATTTCAAACCATCGATTTCTAAACTAAATTTTCTACCGACATGTCCAATATCTTTATAAAACATCGTCATTCCAAAATCTGTACATGACAATCCAAATGTTGGCTTCTTTTCTGAATAAAACTTTACTTTTTCACAGGATTTAGGACCAAGGTGTATGTATAACACCTCCAAGTAGAAATTACCCGTCGTCCTGGCAGTGTAATTTATACGTTTTCCAACTGAATTTTTGCCAGTCATGTAAAATATTGGAAATCCATGTGAAAAGTTTGTCGAGGAATTGTCTTCCTTAGAGTAGTTTTTGGGTGCTAAAATTAAAATAAAACGCAACTTTTGTTGAAGGTGAAATGAACAGTCTAATTGGAGAATAATGGAACATGTCGTACCTCAACCGTTTCCGCCATTAAAGGGAGATACAACTACTGTTGTATGCTAATATTTATTATTTACACTCTGTGCTTTAATGCATCAAAGATGCCATAATGAAATTAACAATCGCTCGTTAGGAAATGTCATTGTCGTTATAGAGAAGTCTGTGTTATTGCATTGTGGCAGATTTGTTTAGTCAGACATGAACTGATCTGGTTGTATATTTTACCAGTATAGTAGTTGCATGTGTCGTACATAAAGAAGAGCATACTCTATCGTGAAGGTCCATGTGGTCAAATAAATTCAATAGACCTACTTGGTTCACAAGTCACAGGAATTTTTATCTTTACATCTCCAGATGGATGCACAGTAACATTACATCGTTTCTTTCCACTACAACTGTTAAAAATGTTTACTTTATTTTTTAAGGTAAAACTCTCATGGCCTCTGGTTAAACACGAAAACGTTGAAGTTATTTGCTTACAGGTTGAATTTGTTAGCTCGTAAAGTATTGTCGCACCAGTCCATTCTAATCGTATAATGTTGTCTCCGCAGCATTCTATCGAATGAGTTGTTTTTAAAGGACTGAAGCATTCACATATATTGCTGTAGTTGATAACACAAACACCCTTTGAAGCTGAAAATTCCGATATTGTGATATGTTACAGAGAATATGATATATGGCCTATGATTTAGTGTATATGATATAGTATCTATGATATAGTGTCTATGATATAGTGCCCTATGATATAGAGTATATGATATAGAGTATCAGATATAGTGTCCATGATATAGAGTATATGATATAGCGTCTATGATATAGAGTATATGATATAGAGTCTATGATGTAGTGTCTATGATAGAGAGTCTATGGTATAGTATTTATGATATATAGTATATGGTATAGTGTCTATGATAGTTAAAATGAAATATACTTTTTCCATTTCGTGTATAGTTTTCTATTCTCTTTGTAAAACATTTATACGGCACCCTTGATATACCTCATCAGTAACACTGTATTGCTACTTTACCACATGCCTGATCAAAGGTATTCGTTCATCTAATTTTATAATGTTAACCAGAAGTCAACTGGAACCATCACTTTGTATTCTTAAATCAATGAAAAAGTTAACTACTGCATTGCTTTCTAGAATCTAATATTGATTGAATTGAATCTCCGAGTCTTTCGGTTTAAATAAACCTTTCATAGGTTCAGAATTCTACTTCATTCGCGGATTTCATTCGTATCCGTCATCGTTATTTGTTTGTAGGTGTTCACCTTCATTATCTCCTAGATTTAGCATTTCTATATTGGTATTGATTTCTGACGATCCATTACCATATCTAAAAGAGAACAGTCAGAAGTAAACGATGTGGTGTTCAAACTCTCAATTTAATTTGATTCAGAAGCCGAAGTATAAGAATGGCACAATTATTAGAACACAGTGAAATAAACAGCTGTTTGTTCGAGTCTATTATAAATCCCATATTACTTTGGTTTAATACTTGTTCGAGTCTCGTGTAAGTAGCCCAATTGTTGTAGGAAAAATGTTTGCGTTTTTATGCTTCATAGTTATGCACTTGTATCTGAAACCGAAATGTATATGAAACCTACCTTTGATAATAGTATACACCAAAAGAGACGAAGACAACTAGAGCAGCCAAAATTCCTCCTAATACGACATACGCAATGATTTCATCTCCATTTTTGTCCACCATTTTGGAATTCGCTGTTGAGTTCGAGTTGTTCAGTATCTCTGAAATCACAATATCGTTTTAAATATGAGGTTACAGTGATAAAAACTGAAACAGGTTTCTCCGGGGAAACAGTGCATGAACATCACAAACCGCCCTAAGACAAAATAGCGTTAAAAAATTGGTTGTTGATATCGTTTTTGGAATACATGCATCAAAAAGCCCAGATCGAACACGTAGAGTAGTGCTTGAAGACTGAGCGGTGTATAAGTTTTATAACGATTGGCCAACCATGACCAAGGGCGGCGATCCTTACTGCGGGGACACCATACATATTGTCCCCTACACCCCGTTTCAATCTTCAAAATAAAG